TTAGAGTTAGAGTTCCACCCCAGATGATAGACAGGTTTACCAGCAGGCTAGTGGGTTAGCAGGTTAGAGTTCCACCCCAGATGATAACAGGTTTACCAGCAGGCTAGTGGGTTAGCAGGTTAGAGTTCCACCCAGATGAATGAGTAGAGGTTAGAGTTCCACCCCAGATGATAGACAGGTTACCAGCAGGCTAGTGGGTTAGCAGGTTAGAGTTCCACCCCAGATGATAGACAGGTTTACCAGCAGGCTAGTGGGTTAGCAGGTTAGAGTTCCACCCCAGATGATAGACAGGTTTACCAGCAGGCTAGTGGGTTAGCAGGTTAGAGTTCCACCCCAGATGAGTTGGAGATAGGGTTACAAAATTCCAGTAATTTTCCCCAAATTCCATGGTTTTCCAGAAATCCTAGTTGAAGGATTCCAGATTTCCTGCTATTCCACCCTGATTCTAGGAACCTTCCAAGCAGGATTTCTGGAAAACGTAGTAATTTTACCAGAGTTTTGCAACCATAGTTAGAGTTAAATATATATTGAATGTAGTGATAACCCCCATAGAGAGATCATCTCTACATTTACATTTTAGTCATTTAGCAGACACTCTTATCCAAAGCGACTTACAGTTAGTGAATGCATACATGTATATATATTTTTTAAAAAAAAAAAAAAAAATTCATACTGGCCCCCCGTGGGAAACGAACCCACATCCCTGCCGGCCAAACCCTCCCCTACCTTGGACGACGCTGGACCAATTGTGCGCCGCCCATGGGTCTCCCGGTCGCGGCCGGCTGCGACAGAGCCTGAACTCGAACCAGGATCTCTAGTGGCACAGCTAGCACTGCGATGCAGTGCCTTAGACCACTGCGCCACTCGGGACTCGCCACTCGGGACTCTCTAGATCATGTTTTTAACCACTCATCAACTCTAATCTGTTTTATAGATTAATATGTAACCACGTTATTTCATGAGAAGTCTAGAATGTTCTGGCACTACATATCGCTTATCCCTTTACTTAATTCACTGTGTTGTTAGTAATGTTAGTGTATCTGTGGTCAAGATTCAGACAGAGATCATTACTTCAACTGTTTTGACACTCAACAACTTACCTTCTGGTTCTTCTTTTAAAACTCAGAATTCATGGTCAGGACTTTTCCAGGAGCTTTTCTAACCAGGAATTACTCTGGGCTGTAGTCATGATCAAGGAAAATGGTTGTCAGTTCAACCCTATCTAAATGGTTGTCAGTTCAACCCTATCTAAATGGTTGTCAGTTCAACCCTATCTCTTGCTTTTTTTCACCGATATTGTTCTGCTTATTATATGAATGAATGTAATATATTTGTTCATTTAGAATGTTTTTCCTTGATAGACTTTCATAAATTGCCGTCAAGAGAAAGCTATAACTTCCAAAAGCATATTAAAAAAACAATAACAGTGGCAGCAGGTGATAATATAATTTAGATTTATGCATGTAAAGATATATTCCGTATATCACTTGCACGGACATGGGAGGCTGATGGCTTACCAAGGGCTACATCTACAGTGAGCAGTTATTAGTCCGTATATCACGGACATGGGAGGCTGGTGGCTTACCAAGGGCTATATATTCCGTATATCACTTGCACGGACATGGGAGGCTGGTGGTTTACCAGGGCTATATAGCTGTCTCCCTTCCTGTCTGCTGGGGTCTAAGCTAAACTAACTTGATAGCTGTCTTCTCCTAGCTGTCCCCTTCCTAGTCTGCTTGGTTCAATAAGCTAAACTAACTGATAGCTGTCTTCCTCCTAGCTGTGTCTCCCTTCCTGGCCCTGCTGGGTCTAAGACCTAAACTAACTGATAGCTGTTCTTCTCCTAGCTGTCTCCCTTCCTGTCTGCTGGGGTCATAAGCTAACTAACTGATAGCTGTCAGCTCCTAGCCTGTGTCCCTTCCTGTCCTGCTGGGTCCATAAGCTAAACTAACTGATAGCTGTCAGCTCTCCTAGCTGTCCTCCCTTCCTGTCTGCTGGTGGTCATAAGCTAAACTAACTGATAGCTGTCCTTCTCCTAGCTGTCCTCCCTTCCTATCTGCTGGGTCATAAGCTAAACTAACTGATAGCTGTCAGCTCCAGCTGTCTCCCTTCCCGTCTGCTGGGTTATAAGCTAAACTAAATGATAGCTGCTCCCCCTAGCTGTCTCCCTTCCCGTCTGCGGTATAAGCTAAACTACTGATAGCTGTCCTCCCAGCTGTCTCCCTTCCCGTCTGCTGGGTCATAAGCTAACTAACTGATAGCTGTTTTTCCCCTAGCTGTCTCCCTTCCTGTCTGCTGGGTCATAAGCTAAACTAACGATACTGTCCTCCTACTGTCTCCCTTCCTGTCTGCTGGGTCATAAACAAACAACTGATAGCTGTCCTTTCCCAGCTGTCTCCCTTCCTGTCTGCTGGTCATAAGCCCAAACTAACTGATGCTGTTTTTCTCCTAGCTGGTTCCCTTCCTGTCTGTGGTCATAAGCTAAACTAAATGATAGCTGTCAGCTCCTAGCTGTCTCCCTTCCCGTCTGCTGGGTCATAAGCTAAACTAACTGATAGCTCAGCTCCTAGCTGTCTCCCTTCCTGTCTGCTGGGTCATAAGCTAAAACTAACTGATAGCTGTCTTTTCCCAGCTGTCTCCCTTCCCGTTGCTGAGTCATAAGCTAAACTAAATGATAGCTGTCCTCCTAGCTGTCTCCCTTCCTGTCTGCTGGGTCATAAGCTAAACTAACTTTATAGCTGTCCTCCTAGCTGTCTCCCTTCCTGTCTGCTGGGTCATAAGCTAAACTAACTGATAGCTTCCTCCTAGCTGTCTCCCTTCCCCGTCTGCTGGGTCATAAGCTAAACTAACTGATAGCTGTCAGCTCCTAGCTGTCTCCCTTTTGCTGCTGGGTCATAAGCTAAACTAACTGATAGCTGTCGCTCCTAGCGTCTCCCTTCCTGTTGCTGGTCATAAGCTAAACTAACTGATAGCTGTCCTCCTAGCTGTCTCCCTTCCTGTCTGCTGGGTCATAAGCTAAACTAACTGATAGCTGTCAGCTCCTAGCTGTCTCCCTTCCTTGTCTTTTTGGGTCATAAGCTAAACTAAAGATAGCTGTTTCTCCTAGCTGTCTCCCTTCCGGGTTTTGCTGGGTCATAAGCTAAACTAACTGATAGCTGTCCTCCTAGCGGTCTCCCTTCCTGTCTGCTGGTCATAAGCTAAACTAACTGATAGCTGTCTCTCCTAGCTGTCTCCTTCCCCGTTTCTGGGTCATAAGCAAACTAACGTAGCTGTCTTCTCCTAGCTGTCTCCCCTTTCCCGTCTGCTGGGTTCAAAGCTAAACAACTGATAGCTGTCTTCTCCTAGCTGTCTCCCTTCCCGTGCTGGGTCATAAGCTAAACTAACTGAATGCTGTCAGCTCCTAGCTGTCTCCCTTTCGTCTGCTGGGTCATAAGCTAAACTAACAGATAGCTGTCTTTCCTAGCTGCTCCCTTCCGTCTTTCTGGTCATAAGCTAAACAACGATAGCTGTCTTCTCCTAGCTGTGTCCTTTCCCGTCTGCGGGTCATAAGCTAAACTAACTGATAGCTGTCTTCTCCTAGCGTTCCCTTCCTGTTTCTGGGTCATAAGCTAAACTAACTGATAGCTGTCAGCCTACGTTCCCTTCCTGCGCTGGGTCATAAGCTAAACTAAAAGATAGCTGTCCTCCCAGCTGTCTCCCTTCCTGTTGCTTTGGGGCATAAGCTAAACTAACTGATAGCTGTCACTCCTAGCTGTCTCCTTCCTGTCTGCTGGGTCATAAGCTAAACTAACTGATAGCTGTCTTCTCCTAGCTTCTCCCCTTTCCCGTCTGCTGGGTCATAAACTAAACTAAAATGATAGCTGTCTTCTCCTAGCTGTTCCTTCCTGTCTGCTGGGTCATAAGCTAAACTAACTGATAGCTGTTTAGCTCCTACTGTCTCCCTTTCCCGTTCTGCTGGGTCATAAGCTAAACTACTGATAGCTGTCAGCTCCTAGCGTCTCCCTTCCTGTCGCTGGGTCATAAACTAAACTAACTGATAGCTGTCAGCCCTAGCTGTCTCCCTTCCTGTACTGCTGGGTCATCAGCTAAAACTAACTGATAGCTGTACAAGTCTCCTAGCTGTCTCCCTTCCTGTCTGCTGGGGGTCATGTTAAGCTAAACTAAACTGATAGCTGTCAGCTCCTAGTCTGATCTCCCATTCTGGTCTGCTGGGTCATAAGCTCAACTAACTGATTAGCTGTCTCTCCTAGCTGTCTCCCTTTCATGTCTTCTTCCTGGGTCATAAGCCTAAACTAAACTGATGGCTCTTGTCAGCTCCTAGCTGTTCTCCCTTCCTGTCTGCTGGGTCATAAGCTAAAACTGAACTGATAGCTGTCCTTGCTCATAGCTGTCTCCCTTCTGTCTGCTGGGTCATAAGCTAACTACTGATAGCTGTCAGCTTCCCTAGCTGGTCCTCCCTTCCTGTCTGCTGGGTCATAAGCTAAACTAACTGATAGCTGTTCCTCCGAGCTGTCTCCCTTCCTGTCTGCTGGGTCATAAGCTAAAATAACTGATAGCTGTCCTCCTAGCTGTCTCCCTTCCTGTCTGCTGGGTCATAAGCTAAACTAACTGATACTGTCTTCTCCTAGCTGTTCCCTTCCCGTCTGCTGGGTCATAAGCTAAACTAATGATACTGTCTTCTCCCAGCTGTTCCCTTCCTGTCTGC